GAACCTCTTGTGTTCCAATTTGTACCCATTTCCCCTTGTCCTTTCATTGTTTGCCACTGAGAAGAGCCTGGCTCCATCCTCGTGACACTCCCCCTTTATATATTTATATACACTAATAAGGTCACCCCTCAATCTCCTCTTCTCCAAACTATAGAGACCCAGCTCCCTCAGTCTTTCCTCATAAGGGAGATGCTCCACTCCCTTAATCATCTTAGTTGCCCTGCGCTGGACTCTCTCCAGCAGGTCCCTGTCCTTCTTAAACTGAGGGGCCCAGAACTGGACACAATATTCCAGATGAGGTCTCACCAGGGCCGAGTAGAGGGGAAGGAGGACCTCTCTCGACCTACTAACCACCCCCCTTCTAATACACCCCAGGATGCCATTGGCCTTCTTGGCCACAAGGGCACAGTGTCGGCTCATGGTCACCCTGTCGTCCACCAGGACCCCCAGGTCCCTCTCCCCTACACTGCTCTCTAACAGGTCGTTCCCCAATCTATACTGGAACCTGGGGTTGTTCCTGCCCAGATGCAGGACTCTACACTTTCCCTTGTTATATTTCATCAAGTTATTCCCCGCCCAACCCTCCAGCCTGTCCAGGTCTCTCTGGATGGCAGCACAGCCTTCTGGCGTGTCGGCCACTCCTCCCAGCTTAGTGTCATCAGCAAACTTGCTGATAGTACACTCAATACCCTCATCTAAATCGTTGATGAATATATTAAATAATACTGGTCCCAGTACCGACCCTTGAGGCACTCCACTAGTTACAGGCCTCCAACTAGACTCCGCCCCATAGACTATTAACTAAAGACAGATTGTAGCAGTTTGTTGGTAGAACTAAGGTGGGAGGTTTTTTATTTAATCCTGATTTTCTCTTCAGGTTTTATATTTCTGTATATATGTAAGTGCAAATATTATGACTTACTATTGCATTGGTCAGATGGTGCGATTAAGACTGGAATCCAGAATGCTAGGACCTAAATAAAAATACCTGTAGATGAAGCCACTGTCTAGTGAACTGGTGCCTTCCCAAGCATCTAGTGACCTGGATGCCTTCCCAAGCACAGATGAGATTGATAATTTTCCCATCCTTGCCCCAGATGTAATTCAGCTATTGAAGTAGGGTGCCAAATCGTCATGTAGGGTACAGCTTTGGTATGCACCCTGCTTCTGACACCTTATGCTAACAGGGTTTTAACTAATGTTATTTATAGCAGGGAAGGGGTGATGATGCTTCCACACAGGATAAATGTTGTGCATTACAAGCTGACTTTTTAAAAAAGTATCTTTTTGGGTTTTTTGTAGTCTGGCTTCTTGACACTAATTCATTTTTTTGGGGAAAATTTGTTTTGTATTCTTTCTGAGCCTGTTTTCCAAAGAAAACTGGCTTTAAATGATTGAACATTCTATTCATCTGCCTTCTCTATCCCTTCAGGTAACTTTTGAATCCATTGATAAATCAGCAGCTAGATAGCTCCTCCGTGTGTCCCAGTTGAGGGGGAAATGAACCTTTTCTTTGTTTTGCTTGGCTGCCAATCAGTGCTGTCGTACAGACTACTCAGGCTGTCCTCAGGCTGAGCAGGCTGTGCTCAGCTAGCAAGCTGGACAAATATGTACTAGGAGGCATGCCAGGGGGTGATCCTAGATGTATGAGGGAGCTGGGGCATTGTGCAGTAAGGAACATAGGAGGAAATTGGAGCTATGCAGGAGGACAGGGATCATGGAATCGCTCAGGTTGGAAGAGAACTTGAGTGGTCATCTAGCTCAACCTTTTACATTAAGCTGGGTCAATGTTAAATACAGCCAGGGCTGCTTAGGGCATTGTCTGGCTGAGTCTTAAAAGCCTGGAAGTTATGAGAGTCTACAACTTTTTTGTGCAAAGTGTGCCAATACATAATCATCTTCATAATGAGGAATGCTTCTCCATATGCAGTCAGAACCTCTGCTGTTTCAGTTTATGAATTTCTTTCTTTCAGGGATCCTCAATAAAGAGTCTGGCTCAGTCTTCTCAATGACCTCTCCATTAACACTTCTCTCGGCTAAAGAACCCTCAGATCATCCTCATATAAGTCATGTGGTCCAACCCCATAACTGTCTTGGTGACTTCTGGGGATTTAAGTGTTTTCAAGGCTTGTACAGGGTGACCCAAAATTGATTGCAGTATTCTAGATGTGGGCTGAGTTTAAAGGAATAATTTGTTCCCTTGATATACTGGTTACTGTTGATCTACCATTTTGCTGTTGATACAGATTACTGTGCTGTTAGTCTTTGTTGTTGCCAGGATGCACTGTTGAATCCTGGTTAGCCTCCTGACCACCAGACTCTCATGTGCTTTCCATTAGTGCTGCGGCTCTGATAGGAAGCTCATAGCCCATATTGTGGCATAGAGTTAATTGCTTTGCATTTGTCCTTCTAGAATTTCATGAAGTTCGGTTGGGTGCTCATCAGGTCCTTCTGACCAGCATCGCCCAGTGTGGTGCCAGCTGCAGACTTGATGGGGGTACTTTGTGTCTTCCCCCTCCAGGTTCCTGAGACATATATAAAAAAAGGAGAAGTCCCAGCACACACTCCTGAGGGACTACATTTATAACTGGCCTCCGGGTAGTTTTCTGAACTTTAAAATACTGTGTTGAGGGGTTTCAGGAGTAGAAAGTTACTGGGATATTGAAAAGGCTGATGATAAGGATATAGGACAAGAATCTTTAGGAACCAGTCATCTCGGTGAATAGTCCCTTGATTATGGGTGAATTTCTCATGAGCTGAATAAGCGACAAACCATATAATAGTTGAATTTACTTAGAACAAAAGTCTTTAAAATTAGGAAAACCTTTATTGTGGAAAGCCCAAAGTGGTGATAGTTCAACTGTGTGTGTGTTCAGTTTGGTAGCTGCAGTTACACTGCTGAAATTCAAAGAATCATTATTTTAACAATTACTCTTTCATACCCTTACCTGGAATACTTGGCAGAATATTTCATCTCAAACCTGTTTTCTGGATACTAGTTAATTAAATTTCCCTTCTTACTTGCGTTTTACTTTTCAGACTATGGTTTTTTGTTTGATAGCTTTGCTTACACATCTTTGCATAATAGAGTGGTGCATGCTCAAGTAAGCCTTGATATTGCAAGTCTGACTTGGACAAATAGCTAGTACCAATATGAATAGTCTTACCGACTTCAAGGACTTAATTTGCATGAATAACAGTTGCAGCGCGGGGATCTGAATGTGTATGTCTGCTTTCCATTACACGTTCAGCTCTCAGCAACTTCAGCGGAGTGCCATCTCTATTACAGGAGACAAATTGGGCTTCAAGGAAGATGTAATTTCTTTCCACAATAAAGCAGAAATCAGTTAAAAAGCGTATGTGCATATTGCTAAAATCCTTCAGGTAATGTGTGCAGTGTGGAGTTGGTGGTGGCTTAAGTTAGCTGAAGAGATAATTTTGTTAATGACTCTTTGAAGTTGTTAATGTCGGAATTACATGGCATAGGGCGCTGGGAAGAGCGGGAATGGCGTGCTGTAGTGATGCAGTAAAGCACGCATTGAAGTAGACACCGCGGACCAGAAGATGGAGGGGAGACGGGCGAGGAAGGGCCGCGGTATCCATGACCGCGCCAGGCTGTCGGCGTTACCTCAGCGGGGCCGCCGCAGCGCCCCCAGCCGGCGGTGACTGCACCCGCCTCCCCGCCCCGTTGATGGAGCGGCCGCAGCCCGGCGCTGACAGAAGCCCAGGGTGATGGTGAATGCTGCCAGCTCGCCTCAGATCACATCATGGAAATAACAGACGTGTACATCCCCGTAAGACCGCTGCTCACTTGTTCGCCCTCATTTTTTTAGACGTGTGACGGTTTCTTGCTCTTGAATTTGGCCACAAAATGCCTCTCAAAACAAATACTCGTTCTTAAACCTCTCAGGTTTGTATGAGGTCGGGGAACCCTCCCGCACACGAGGATTACTTTTGTAATTAGCCACTCAGGAAACGGGTTCCACAATATTCTCAGACGAATTTGCTGTGCTGTTTTGTACGTATCAAAAGCATATTCACAAGTGTTTTTAAAAGTCTTGTGGAAAACTGATTCAGTGTCATGAGAGTGTTAACCCCCTGTGGTGGGTCAAGTCCAAGAATCCATACAAAATGCAACTGCTGACTTTTTTTATATGTAATATATATATAATATATATATATTTGTGTGTGGACACAGAATTTTTATCCAGAATACTGTCCCACTGGCACTACTTACATCTATGTCTTTGTAGGAGGATAGCTTAGATTAATATCTACAAATTTATATCCAATATTCTGGAATTATTTTGATGCATTAGGGAATTCTTATGAGTTACCCATAATGTTGTTTCCATAGCTCAGGTGTTTTCTTAATATATTAATACATTAGACTGTACAGAGTTTGCTTTTCATATAAACTTAGCACAAAATACCAAATATACAAATAACCACAAATACAACTCTTAGCAGTGTTTGAGGGACAACTGTGTTTCTTAATAACTGTTGTTAATATGACTTTATTTGTTTGTATTTAATTAATAGGTTTTTTTCCCTAAACAATTTTTATTATCACTAGCATGCCAGTAGCGTAGGCTAAAGTACATAAGCAACAGTATGCTTTGGGCTGCAGCCTCATCTCATTGACACTGAAATTAATCTGCACTATTGCTTTGGAAAATAAAGAAATTGCTTTGTCTTTTGTAGAACAACTGAGAATTCAAATTGTTTATGCTTTATTTTAATATATGAGGATAAGCTTTGGTAAAATTTCATACGCTTAAATTTCTAAGTGGTTAAAAAAAAAAAGCTCCGATATCTCTTTCAAACTTCAAAGTGCAGTCACACCTCTTTTCAAGGGGTCATGAATGTATCACCAAAGCCATATAAATACACTGCTGTGGATTTTTCTGTTAAGGAATATGAAGTTGTGGATTTATGTTCTTTAGAAGGTGTCTTTATGGCGGGTAAGCTAATTCTCTGTTGTTTTCTTTTTGCTTTAGCTAAAAAACTTGGAATTACTGATGTGCCAGCTGAAGTGGTTACTTTTATTTCCCATGCAACACAAAACAGATTAAAAACAGTGATAGAAAAAGTAACAGTGATAACCCAGCACCGGATGGAATCGTACAAAGTAAGTGTACAAAGAAACGTATTCTGTATGTTATAAAATGATGCAGCGTGATGCTGTTTTTTCATAACATACAGTAGATGTTTTGTGTCATTCTCTGTGCAAAGTGTGTTTTAAAGGTAGGTTTGTCCATCTCAGCAAATAGAAGGTGGTGTGGGATGATAGCACTGTTTGCCAGATCTGTCTTCCTTCTGTATGACAATTATGTTTTCATCTTCTCTGCTAAAGTGTCTAGCATGGAGCATCTGTTAAGCTATTTCTGTTCATAGATTGTGACTAAGATTGTTGATTCTTGACATCTCCTTTTCAGACCAAGGTATCCTTCAGTTGGATCAAAATGGTTTCAATATAAAGGAATCTATGATAAATTTACATATCCTTGTCTGTGACAAATATTAATTTTTACAAAAGCTACCAATCTGTCTTAAACCAACAAATAAATTTCAGCTGCAAATTCTGCACTGTAATTAAACGATTATGCTCTGTTTAAAAAGAACATTTCAAGATAAAATGCTACCTGATCCCATTGTTAGTGATTGAATTCTTAAAGAAAATTAGATTAGATATATTAAACCAGAGAGGAATTTTAAGTAATACTCTGCAAACCAGCTTGAAATTCAAATAAAGCAAACATCTTTATTGATAAATTTGAAATATCCTAAATAAGATGCTAATAGCTATTAAACTGGTGTAAAAGCAAGATTACAATAACTGTTGATGTATGTTGTGTCTAAGCTGTGTTTAGATTTCTTCAGCATGCATATACATTGAGTAGCTCTGGTTTGGGGCTCTTTTGCTTGGGGGGGGTTGTTTGTCTGATTGTTTGTTTTTAACCTTGAGTGAAAGCCTGGGCAAAAAAGTTTGAACTGTACCTTTGCTCACCTATTTCCCAAACCTGAATCACAGTTAGACTAATTACATGTGGCATTTTTGAGAAAAATTTAACTAGGATCTGTGACTAGAATTAACATCACTGTGATAGAAAAATAGATTAAAAAAACCCCACAAAGTCTACTATGACTGTGTGCACTTACATCTTTCCTTTCAATTGATACATTCTACTACATTGGATTAAAAGTAAATCTCTTTGTTTGTTCCCAGTATTCTTCTTCAGCTTCAGCAGTGTTAAATCCTTCTTTCTTTCTCCCTAGGATGGCATCTGAGAAAAAACCCCACTTTGCTTAGCCTGTGCTAAGCCAAAGATGCATTTAAAGGTTCTTAGGGAAAAACCACTGTTGTCTCCAATTTTCATTGTCTTCTGTATATTTCTTGGTTAATGGTTTTCTTTGATTCATAACATGACAGTCAGAAAGGAGAATTTTAAGGAGATTAATATGATGGAAGTAATGTGAATAACTTATTGTTCTGACTGGCATTCTGAGTGTTCACCCTGTTCATTGTCATAAATTTTTATTGTTTGTTGGGTCCTAGGAAAGCTTCCATGCTCTTAGTTGTCATAAAGTTCCTCTATTTTAATAGTAATTGGAGTCTTATTTTCAACTGAATTTTTTGCTTTAATGCTTTTATTTTTTAATGCTGCATTTTGATCATATCTATTACTAGTTCGAGTACATATACAGGTACTGTATATTGTACAAATATCAGGCTTATATGCTATAACTAGGACTGTTCAGTAACAAAGTTGAGCATCCTAAGGATTTTTAATTAGTGTTTGCTTTAACTCTTTGATGTCTCTCTTGCTGATAAATCAATCCTTGTTTTTTCAGTTTGCTTAGATACTAATTAGATTTAGCTGCATTATTAACCACAGGCTGGTTGCATTCCCCTGAGCTTAAAAAAATTGGTAATTTTATTTTTTTTATTGTTAGTAAAATGGGAAGATTTTAAGTTATAGCATCTATAGGCTTCTTTAAATGCATAGTCTTGATTAAAACACTTTATAAGACACTGGTTTTATTTTACAGGATGATGAGTGGTATGAACAATCTACAGATGTCCGATCACAGTTAAAGTTTTTTGAACAGTTGGAGCGTTTAGAAAAGCAAAGGAAAGATGAACAGGAGAGGGAAATCTTGCTGAAGGCTGCCAAGGTATCTGTTTTGCTCTATTTTTTTAAAACTACTAAACAATTCATAGACTTCAATTATTTAATTTCATTAAATCTGTTTCATAAATACTTTCCTTTTTTTTTAATAACAAAAAGATATTGTGACATTACAACTTAAGTTCATTAAGTCATGCTATCTTATCTGTGACAACTACAGACCTATCCAGCTGGAACTCTCCTGCATTTTTCAAGATACAGCTCTGAATGTGAGGAGTTCTTGGGAATATAGGAGACAATGGCTAACATTTTCAAAATACCATGGTGAAATAATTTTCACAATTGCCTTTGAAATTTAATAGATGCCAGGGTTTCTGTGCCATTTGAAAATCCTAGGCTGCACTTCTGGTATTTAAACACAATTCAGTAAATTCTTACAGATTTTTTTTATTTTTCAGGCTTCTTACTTCCTGAGTTACTAGATTTCTCTTATTTTAAAAAAGTTTTGTTCATTTATTTATTTTAATTTAAATACTGTGTGTCTCTCTTGGTGTTCCTCCTCTATATATAAGTTCATTATTTTATTGGTCCATGCCTGTCTTCAGTTAGCTATCAGTTCTTCTGGACTTTTTCCTTTTTAACTTTAATTCCAAAGGCTGAATTTTTAAACTAAGGTAATACTCCTTCAGGAGCATACAGGTATAGATAAAACCTCCTGTTTGTAGCTGAAAATTTAATTATATATAACATATCAAAGTGCAAATAAGTTTATCCTTTAGTTATCTCAATTTTAATCGCATTTTCATTGAATTATTTATTGTATATTCTGAAGATATAATACAGAACAAGTTAACACTCAGTGGTAAGATTTAGCATCCTGATTTTGTGCCATTGATGTCTGTAAATTAAGGTATTTCAAAAAAAAAAAAAAAACACAACAAAAAAAAACGGAAAAATAACCTACCCTTGCTTATGTCAGAAAGTTGTTTCTCAATGTAGCGCTTTAATCTGTCCCATTTTCACTCTTAATTTGTGACTGTTCACATTGTTAAATATTCCACAAACTTCTACATAATGTATATACTCTAAATGTTTAGACTGAAAAGGTAATGCTTATTAAAAAAAAAAAAAGAGGTATTTATTTTTTTATCCCATTTCCTTCTTTCTGTGAATACATCTTGATGACTCATGTTTTCCGTGTATCTTGCTACTTGTTTGTTATGTTGGTTATGGTTTTTTATGGACATTGAGGAAAATACAGTAGCTTGCAATCCTTCAAAACATTTTCCCTGACTTCATTAAGCCTTATATACGCTGATCTCAGGTTGGGTGAGATGACCTCTCCTGTTGTCCCTTCCAACCTGAATGACTTCATGATTTGATAATCTTTGTGAGTTGTTTCTTTCTTTTAGTCTTGAATAATCTCCTGTGAAGTCAAAATTTAGGAAATAAATACATGATCAACATGTTTGATTACTATAGATGACAGAGCAAATCAAAGAATTCTACAACAAACAAATATAAGAATATCCTATTTGAAGAATTTTTATTAATGAATTTATAAATCAATTTTATGACCAGAAAGTGACAGGAGGCAGCTTGGCATAACTACATGGTGTACTGGAAAAATATCTGAAGGTGTTAAATAACCGAAACTAAACCACAAAGTAGCCATGGAAGAGCAATGCTGATTGATCAGTATGAATGTTCAGAATGAATTTTCAGAAAGATAAGTTAGAAGTATTGTGAACCTTTTGTGAGGTGCTTATGCAATGTTGTGATCTAAGTGAAAATGCCTATTTGGAATTTACATGTATTTACATTGATAGTGTCTTCTTTCTGGATTGTTCAGCTGGCTCTCAGCCATTCTGTTCTGAAGGACTGACAACCTATTGCAGCACTTGTGTAGGACATAGTTTGGCAAAATATGGTCAGACGACAACTTTTAATTTGAAATAATAGATTTTTCATTATTTCCTTTGAATCTAGGGTGCTGCTCAAACTTGAGACCACCTGTACAATAATATCAGTAACTACTGAGATCTTTATTCTGAATTTCTATGTACTAATTCCTTACTCAGGATTTAGAATTTTCTGTCTTTTATGAATTTGCCTAGTGGTGTAAGGAGATTGAGGTCTTTGTGGAAAGAATACAGTAATTGTAATGACACAGGCATTACCTGGACACAGTTAAAATCTGCCCCAGCTGTCCTGATAATCATGGTAAAGATCAGTAACTATTTCATGTCTGTTTGTGGATGGTGGTTGATATTTTTGTCTGCAAAAGGGGTAATAGTTAAACTGTCTCTGAAGACTGAAATACCCACTATGCAAAGAAGTCTTTTCCCCAGTCATGGCATCTTTATCACCTTGACAGTGCTGTGTGTTTAAAGGTTAGAGAACTTTGGATTTTAAAATGAAATTTCTGTTTCTGATTTTTTTTCTACAGGTGCTTATGTGTAAAAATCAGATTTATTTTTTTTTATTTGTAACTGCAACTTCTTAATGTGTGTATCAGATGAACAGATTTTTTTATGTTATACATGTTTTGGTGTGTTATTTTGCAACATACTTCTAAAGTTACTCAGCAGAGTAATTTTAGGAAGAGTTTCAAAATTGCCTGCTAGTGGTATCTCACCTATTGTCTGTTCCGTGAAAATTCTGTTTTCCTTATTTACACTTTGGAGCTTTGTTGATAGCCAAAGCCCAGGTTTTTGAGAAAGAGTAAGACAAATAAATGTTTTGGCTATTGGAGCGGATGGTATCAAATAGTCAAACTTAATAAAATTATCAACTGAAAAGATGAAAAAACAAAGGAATAGGTTGAAATGAAATGGGAGTCAGCATGAGTCTTTTGGAAGCCTTGAAACCAATTTGGTAATTTTGCATTGTAATTCAGCAAGGGGTAAGAAAGTATTGGGTTTGCAGGTTTTGTGGTTGTTTTGGGTAGTGGGTTGGTTTCTTTAGTAGGAGAAAAGAAACTTTGATACTAGTGTTTGGATTGATCTACAACCATAATTTCAGTTGTTATAGTAGGATGTGATTGCAGAATTTGTAAGCATCCAGATGGAGTTGATTTTGTTTCAGATAAAAGTTTTGAGAGAAAGAGATAAAATTTGATTGGAAATAGACTCAAAGTTAGGTTCCAAAAAGGGATTTAAAATTTTTGCCAATCTGTCCCAAGTTAAAAAAAAGTGTGAAGCTAGAAGAGTATCTTTAAAGCAAAATAACAGTATTATTTGCTTGTTGAATGAGAGAATATTACAAAATTTTACTTGCCATGCCTATTAAGTACTAGAGAAATAGAAACTTCATACCACAGTTTAGAGAAGAATAACTCATGTTTGCATTTCAGCGAGGTATTTTGGGGGAAGACACACCTGATAGGTAAGGAAAAATCATACTATGCTATAGTAGCAATGCAACACACAATTTACCGTTACTTCTGGATTATCTTCCTGATAAGTGAATAATTGAGTAAAATAAAAATGTCACAGGAAAGGGGTGTCTTGAATATGAACACATAGATCGAGTGCAGTTTCTTTAAAGGAGATAATCAGCTCTTCTCCCTCATTTGTTTTCCTAGTAAGAACCCGTTGTTTCCACATGTATGCAGAAGCACAGATCTTTCAAACGTGTCTTTGGTGATGTAGAAGAAATTGCAAGGAGAGCTAAGTAAAGTCTTAACACTGCATAAAGGTCAAAAGCCAGACTAAAATCACTTGAGGAGTTTACGTTTGACATGGTGTGTGCTGTGTGAACTTTCTTAAAGAAAAACGAAACATAAAAGCATCAGTCTTGCTATAGTAAAAGATATGTTCCTTGCTGCTTTCATAGCTATTTCCAAAACCTGGGAAATGCAGGCTGTGTGTGTCAGACTGAATGAGGTTCTGGTTCTGGGCTAATAATTGAAATATTTCCAACAGCAGGAGGAATAAGAGATAGTACTTAATTTTTTTTTGGTTGGTTGGTTTTATTTCTGAATTAATTTTTTGAGAGGGTAGTACTTAATATAGCGAAGATGTGCAGCTTGGGATTGCCCATGTTTTCAGAAAAATCTATTTTCTGTGATACAATCTATATAATAAAGTGAATCTTGGTAGAATTACTGTGTTAATTCATCCACTCAAATAGGCTAAATGCATTATTATTATCAGATTAATTTTGAAAACTCATTTCCAATATATATATATTCCATTAGTCTACTATTTTGAGTGCTCGTATTAGTAACACAAGCCTGTCAAGTTTTAGAGTCTTAACTCCTATGAGAGTCATATTTCTATTCTGTAAAAAGAATAATTACATAAGTAAATGAAAATTGTTTAGTGTTGTTTGCAAAGTTAATTGATGTTTATGGGTGATAGTGATCTTTATAGTACCATAGGCTGAAGGTCTTTTTTATTGCAGAGATCACTGAACTTGGGCAATGCAAATTTCCTTACTTGAAGGGGCTGCCTCTTTGAGCCATAGATGAGTTCAGTCATCATGCCAATTAAATCCTTTTCTTCTCTTCTGAGAGTACAGTGGATGTAATGCAGTTTTCTGTGAGAAGTACTCTCTGAATGGAAACTTGTAACTCAATTCTGATGTGAAGAGAGCAAAGAGGGAATTATTGTGTTGAGATAATTTTCTGTATTTTTAGAAATTTCTTACTACAATTTTAATGATTTTAAAATAAATCATTTTTTTCGATCTCCATTCCTGCATTCCACCTCACTGTGGTCGTAGCTCTGAATAGGGTTTTACCCTCAGCTATGCTGCTTTTAACTTTCACTTTTTATTAACAAAGCTAATGTGAAAGCAAAGTGTTTCATGTTGCCAATTTAATTTCTTTAATTAAAAGTGAAAGTTATAAGCTGGTACAGCCGTGGGTGAAGTTCTAATGTCATCAATGGGGAAAAATAGGT